TGCTCAAGTCTGAACCAAAATTTCAAATTGTCATATGTAGTCCACATTAACAGTCATTATTCTTGACTTCGGTTTTTAAAACTAGTTATTCATTCATTTGTTGTGCATTCTGTATGTAATATGTGAAGGGAATTAAAACATTTATATGATTTCCCAAAATTCATAATGGCCCGCCAAGGGGAACCGTAACTACAATGTGGCCCGTGACAAAAACGAGTTTGACACCCCTGATTTAGAGTGTTCAATCAGCCCGCCATGCATGTTTTTGGAGTGAGGGAGGAAACCGGAGCATCCTGAGAAAACCCACACAGGCATGGGGAGAGCACGCAAACTCCATACAGGAAGGCCAGAACCAGAATCGAACCAGGTACCTTTGCACTGTGAGGTCGACGCGCTAACCACTGGAACACCAGGCCACTTTGAGTAAATCATCTTATTGTAAATACCCTGTATGTGTCAGCAGTAAGTAAGGAAAGTATTTTTAATGTCTTAGATATACTCATGGTTCACCTTTCTGCACAACAAATCAGACTGTTGCAGTTGTTTTATTGGATTAGTTTCGCATTAAATGATTTATGTATTAACATGTTCATGTTGCCTTTGAATACAAAATAATTTTGCAAAAAAATTACATTGCTTGATTTGTTTTTTTCTTACTCAATCATGGAATTGTTTTATTTACGTATACCATTTCAAGTGCAACAGCCACCATCAGAAACGTAGAAACATACAGCAAGTAACCCGGTCAGTTAATTCATCGCAGATGACGCACCGTGCGCAAACAGCAGCTCTGCCTTTGGCAGGAACCCTGATTTTAGACGAATTCACCTTGCTCCTCTTCGCCTATTCGGCTGTTTCAATTTACTCTTCTTTCTCCGGAGAAGACGCTACAGTTTTTCACTCTGATTTGTGTATTTTCAAGCTTTGCCCAACAGATGGCGGCAGCTGACAGTCGCACATGATGCCGTTGTTGATCAACTTCATGAGAATATTGGCAGCACGGTGAAAAAGAGTGTTTACCACGTTTCAACTTCAGGTTCTAGGTTAATTGACACTGTCTTAAACGTATTAGTTTAACAATACAGAAGTGCACAACTGTAAACCATCATACTGCGTTTGTAATGTTTGTGTTATCCTGTTTTGTGACATGGGTGGGTAAAAATATCAAAAACATCACATCAGTGCTGTCTCTATAACAGTAATATCCTACGAGAAAGGCGTGAGAATGATTTTAAAGGCCATTGAATGTGCTAAAAGCACATTTATAGTAAATAAAATGGAACATATGGGATTCTCCAATTGAGTAAAAAAAAAAAGACTCATTAAAACTGAATATTTTAGTGTGCGCGAGGAGAGAAATAATCTTTCTTGGTCATCCATCTTCTCCTTCTCTCGTCGGGGGCCCATTAATATCATAATGAGATGGGTACCATTTTTGGACACGAGTAATTTATCGTCACTGCTGAGGCTAAATAATTGAAACCAGTGTTGATGTTCCAGGAGGAGGCCAGGGGCAATGTTGGGGACTTCAGACGGCATAACATATATTTGGAAAAGCATTAACTGTCAATGAAAAACAACATACAGTGTATCATGATTGCTTGATGACATCACAAGTCCAATTCATGATGATATGAAGTTTATTAGTGTTCCCCTTGCTTGTGCTGGTAACAGCTGTACTATATATATCATCCATACTAATGTGAAAAGAGAGATTTGCCGTTCCTGGTGCTAAATCTGTCTTGCAACAGTTGTGTGCTTTTATCAAGTACTGTACTTGGCTGTGAAATAGTTTTTATTCCTTCTGTGAAAATAGAAATGGAATTTGAGCCTTGACAGACACACACACAGATGTCTAACAACAGTCTTTCAAATGTCTTTATAAATTAATTTTCTGTGAGGTAGCACAGTTGATGAGTGATTAGCACGTCTGACGCACAGTCTGGAGATTCTGGTTCAAATCGCCATGGAAACATATCAACGTGGTCTGGTCTCCCCATGCTTGTGTGGGTTTTCTCTGCATACGTCGACTTCCTCAAGCATCATGTTTCACATAAGACAATGGCTATTTTTTAAAGCAGGAAGCAAAGCCATTAATACAGCAAAGTATGGAAATTTCTACTTGAGTATAGTTTTTGAACCAGATCTGCTATATTGTACAATCTCCAATCTTGGATATTTTTTTTTCAGCTAGTTGAAATCAGTTCCCATGTGTCATAATAAAAGGTCGCTGTTATTCTTCCGTCTAAATACACAAATGATAAAGAATTACTGTACTGCACACTTCAGGCCCACGGAACACCAAGAGCATTATTTTTAAGAGCTCTACCTTTGTATTTTTTTGGCTTTTGTTCTGTCATATGTTGTTTGTTGTCTTTCGTGTGGACCCGTTGTGGACTTTTTTTTTTTCTTTTTTTTTTGGCGTTTTGGCCACAACCTTCATTGAAGGAGAAGAATCTGTGCTTAATGGTTGCTCCTTCTTGGCAGCACGCATGTACCAGCACTGATTTTGAATGTCTGCGCTATTTGACTGTCGCCGCTTAACAGCTCAGGGACGCTTGTGGGTTTTGTGCCTGTGATGGGCAGCATTTTTCACAGCCCCGTTTTGCTCAGCGGAGATGTCAGCGCTGTTGGACAGTCTGCGTTGGTGCGGATGGATGGATGGCTGCTGGAGCTGAGGATGAGGAGAGAGGAGCATCGGCGTGGAGCGCGGATGGTTATTTGGAACTGAGAGTCGCCGCTTGGAATTGAAGCGGATTTACATTGGACAGGAGAGATGAACAAATCTCTTTTTTCGTCAGTGGATGTTTTAAAAAGTTAATTTTCCATTTTATGTGGATAGGGTGTTGGGATAATGAATGAATGAATGCCCCCTTGAATGATTTGTGTCCATGCACGTGTCGTTCGTACACTACATTTGTCCCATTTGTACCATACATTTGTTGTGAGTAAAGTGTCTTCTCTTTTCCAATCACTTTCTAGGCTTTTCCCAAATGAACTATCAGATGGTAAGGTTGATGTTTAACCCTTTCAAGGACAGCGGTCACTCCAGTGGACAGCTTATCATCTTATCAGGTTACAGGGTGCATGAAAGGGTAAAAGCCATTTCTTATTTTTGGGGGAATGTTACCTTCAGGCTCGTTTCATCGTTAAAATTTTTGCTGACATTTCACTTCCTAACGTGTCAAGCTTTTAATGAAGGAGCAGGAATACGTAGTTTTATTTATGGTGTGAAAGGAAAAGAAGTGCGCATGTGCACTTTATTATGGGATCAGTGCCTCCAGACTGCAGTGGCGCTCAATCAGCGGTACCCACCAAAGGAAACATCAATCACTCCTCAGACATCGAGTGATTTACTTGACACTTGAGGTGCTGTGTACTTGCGGGCATTGGATTTAGTAAGAGTTTCAAAAAAATTTTAAGCACACCAACACCAATTGAGTTGACCTAAAGTAAATAAAATAGGAGAGCAATACATTCAAAACTACACGGGGATCAAACATGCTCACAGCAGATGGTCTCAAAACAGGGATCACTTGGCATCCCGACACACAATTTCATGTTTTCTTTTTTTTTTCTTTAGCCCCCAGGAGGAACAAAACAAGCCCTTACATTGTTTAATGTTTATTTTTATTTTGTTTATTTACATCGGTTGACTTTTTTTGCACTACATGGAAGGAAAAACGGGTGGTAACAGCAACGTCTAGGAATTAACATCATTAGACAACTAGCTTGTTCAATGACTCTTTCATTTCAGAGGTATGCAATTAATTTTGCACAAGGACCACATGAGAAACGCTTGCCAAGGGCCAAGTCAACATGCTAATCTCAATTTTGAGTTTGTTATTTAGAAAAATAATTTCTTTGTGTGTAGATAGGTTATGTAATGTTCTAATTACAAATTGTAAACACAAATAGCATGAGGATCACTTTTTGCCCATCTCTTTTTTTGGAAAAATCTTGTTCGGGTGTATGAAAAAAACATCACTATTCGCAACACTGCAGAAACAAGTCGTAGCTCTTGCTTGCTACCTTCCACAGATGTGCACATTAAATTAAAACAACTTTCAAAATAAAAGCATTGCATATTTTACGTTTTAACTTGACTTGTGTGTGTGTGTGTGGGGGGGGGGGGGTGCAAATTGCAGTTGTCACATTCACTTTCTGTTTTTGAGTCACACAACTCATACATGTGCCCACACACGCAAACACAGAGCAGTGTGTGTGTGTGTGTGTGTGTGTGTGTGTGTGTGTGTGTGTGTGTGTGTGTGTGTGTTGCTTAATAAATAAATAAATATAATGTTGGATGACCTGCACCCATATACTGTATTTGTGGTGGTCTGTTGAAATCTTTTTGACCAGTTTGAAAAATTATGCATGGATTGAGATTAGTGTTTATGTAAATGACCAAATGTAGCTTTTCTAAAGATTAGAATGCATGTCATCAATTATTTTTGGAGGAAAAACAACGCAACATGTCTTTATGATTTCATCAGGTTTGGCGCGACCAAAGCTAAAATAATCTGCCTTACATGCTGAGATGCTGAGGCCAGGCCGTCAACTAAGCCACTCCACCCAGGGTGTTTTTTTTTTAACCCGTAAATTCATGCACTTTACTATCTTGGCTTTTCCGCAGCTTTTATGGAATTAACTTGGCTGAAACTGTTTCGCAAATCATCATGAAAACCTGGATAAAAACCAATTAGGGAGAACTCCTGGAGATGGCAAAAGCAAACAGCTACTGTTAGTCTTCTTACGGCGTTGTCAGATGAGGTCTCTTTGGCACTTAAGTAGACTTGAGCAAGGCCGCTGTGTCACTGTGTAACCTTTCTACTGGCTCTGCAACTTCCTATCTAACTTCACCTTTGCACACTTACCAGTTGGATCCAGTTAAGTCCACTAGGTCACATATTGTCATATGGGCTAGGCAGAGTCACCCTTTTGGGGAGGGCGGCTCAGACAGCCAAAGAGTAGGAACCTTTTTGGACACATTAGACGAGTGGCTCTGAACCTTGTTAGAGCTACCAAACCCAACCAGTTCATATGCATATTCACCAAACCCTTCATTCGTGAAAAATAAAAGCATGATTTTTTTTTTCAAATTCAAGACATAAAAAAACGCATTTATTAAAAACAGAAAAAGTAAACACAATTAGTGTAAGTATGAAGTATACGTTTTTTAACTGTGCACAAAATGAACCAGCCAGTGATGGCCAAGCAGGCATGTCATAGCTAATTGACATGTTGAGTCGGGTGTGTCTTAACCTCCATGGCAGAGGCTCTGTTGAACCCCTGAGACTGATTCACTGAACCCCTAGGGTTCGATCGAACCCAGGTTAAGAACCACTGTATTAGACCTTCTTCCACATCTGGCAGAATACGGCTCCACAGTTGTGTCTCATTTCTGCAGTCCATTAAATAGTTAAATTGAGTACTGTACAGTCTTCTAGCAATCACTGTTAGTATAATGTTGAGAGCATTAAAGATAAAACGGCTGGTAGAAGTTCACCAGAGCTTTTTAGTGACCCAGATTGAAGGAAGGAGAATATTATGAATTCCTATACGACACACAGGGGCAGCTCTGCAAACCTGTCAGGGGGAAAATAAAATTCCTAATCCCGATCCTTGTAATGTTTGCATGTGTCGTTGTACCCAAATGAAATTCCAGTACACTGAATCCGTCGTTGAGTATTTAATGCAACTAATAGGAAGTACAAAAATGATGGTCGAGTAGAAACTGTACCATTAGGTCACACCTCCGTCTCCAGTGGGATCAGGAAATCAGACGACCCCCACCCTTGTGAGATTGGGTATCAATCAGTGCCAAGCTGTCAGCCCGTTATTCAATGTCATCAGTGTTATCAAAGGAGATCATGTATGTACATGCATGTGTCCGTGTCTTAGTGTGGAGTGAACATTGTAGCATAAAAATATATATATGTATATTTTTTTTAATTATGTTTGAAAAATGGCAATCGGGCTGGTGCTGCAAAAATAAGTTAGCTATTAGCTTTTGTTGTGACAGTGCTGTCGCTCTTTACTCTCTGCCATGATGAAATAAACCGACGGCCTAGTAGCAGAAGAGACAGTCATTAAAAACAACACAATACATGTGCTCATTTTTCATTTAGATATGCACTGCTGAGTGTACATGGAGGCAAAATTGCACGTGTTTCCTTTTTTTTTTTAAATCAACATTGGACTAAGTGATCACGATACACTGTGAAATTAGTATGCATTTCAGAGTCATTCTTATATGCTTTCTTTCAACTTTAATAGAGTTCAGACTACAGTAATATGCAGTCACCGACATGAAATCAATATTTAAAGCAGAGGTGAAGCGGTGTGGATACATTTAAAATAACTAGGATTCCATATGTCTGATTGTGCACTGATCTGAGACCTTTTAATGAGCTTTCTGTTCTCTGAAAATCATTGTGGCTCATTTATTAAGAGCCATGCAGCTTCGAGGGACAATTATTGCAACTCTGGAGAAAAACAAACAGGAAATTGTCGGTCACATATATGAGAAGAAGTCTTTAAGTTCGGGAACAAACCAAATATTGTTTGGAACCCACAAATGTAGACAGAGGTAAAGTATGCAACAAAAATATATTTTTACAGAAAACGAAGGACCGACAAAGTACAAACATAAATCGCTCGGAAGAAAGAGTCAGGTATGACATGAACAAAAAGTGCTTGCAAAAGAAGAAACCAAGATTAACTAATAAACGAAATGGCAAGAGTTCCAGTACACATCACAAAATCAATAGATAAACACTAGGCAAAGAATAACTTACGAAATGCGAATCGAAGCGGACAAGGGCGACTACAAACATGAGCAAAAGGTCCAGAAAATATCCCCTCAGGTAAAACAGTGCGCAAGGTTAATAATCCGACAAAACTTGGCAAGTTGGCAGGACCTTACGAGAACAGACATGATTAGAATAAGGAACAGGTGAGGCTGCTGGAGGGAAATGCCCTTCACGCTCGCTGGAGCTGTAACAAAACACGCACAGGACATGACATTTTACATTTTGATGAGTGAATAATGGTGTGGATATAGAAACGGCCAACGTTACACCAGCCACCCGGGGATGTCTTCTTGCAGTTCCGAATAAACATACTGCTTTATTCTTTGACATGGACTGAGGTGAGATTATTTATATAACTTTATTCATCAATCTACGCTAATGCTGTATGATGTGTGGTGGCCAGCAGAAAAAAATTAATGCTCTTTCATTACCCGAATGTGGCAAAAGATACGATGGGCCCATTATATACAGAGTCAGGCAGGGGTCTGCTGTAATTGTGGGAATCTTGAAACTGAAACTATAAATACCATAAATGTGTGTATTTTTAGAGAGCAGTGATAAAAGCATTCAAGAGAGCTTGAAACAGTCCTGAGAGCTGTCTGTGTTCCACCACACTTGCACAAGTTCCTGCATCTGTTCTAAAATGATCCTGCCCAGTAGGTGGTGTTTGACCTTTGTTGCAAGATTTCATTTTGTTGAAAGTGAAGATGCTTGTGCATGCAAATTCTTGACTTGATCTTTTTTGTTTTGTTTTGTGTTGCGTTTTTCTTTTTAGATACACGCCCCTTGACGGTTCAATTCCCTCGCCTTTTTCCAGGACGCCAAGAATAAATACGCTGCCACATGCATACGCTTTGAGTTGATTTTGGGAGGCAAATAAAAAGAAGCCGCGGAGGTTTCTGCGAGCGTTCCAAACGCTCCTTGGCGCTTAATTGGCTGCTGATGAGGCTATTTATGACGTCATCCCTCCCCTGCCTCCTCCTCCTCCTCCTCCTCCTCCCCACCTCCATCACCTCCTCCGTCTTTCTCTCCTACCCCAACCAACATGGCCGCTAAGTCTGATGGAGCAGCGGTGGCTGTGGAAGATGACAACCCGCCCAGGAGCCTCTCGGAGCCAGGCCAAGCCACCCCCGCCACCTCCACAGCGGCCGCCGCCTGTGCCGCCCGGCCCCGCCGCGGACCCCCGGGCGGACAGGCGTACACGCTGCTGGACTGCTGCTGGGTACTGTGCGCCCTTCTCGTCTTCTTCTCCGACGGCGCCACCGACCTGTGGCTGGCCGCCGACTACTACCTGCGAGACGACTACTGGTGGTTCGGCCTGACGCTCGTCTTCGTCGTGGTGCCGTCCGCCGTCGTGCAGGTTCTCAGTTTCAGGTGGTTCGTGTACGACTACTCGGAGCTGAGCGGCGCGGACAGGGCGTCGGGAACGGCGGGCGAAGCGAGCGGCGACGCCGCTGTAGGAACCAAGGACAGCGACCAGCGCGGCGCGGCGGCGGGCAACGCGGCGAACGCGACCGCCGTCCCCACGTCCTCTTGCCCGTCTGGAGCGACCGAGAAGGGCGGGCGACCTCGGAGATGTTGCACAGTGTGCATGTGGGTCTTTCAAACGGTACTCCACGCCTTTCAACTGGGACAAGTGTGGAGGTAGGACGTGCGTGCGCGCGAGCGTGCGCGTGTGTATGTGTGTGTGCGTGCGTGTGCGCGCTGTGGTGCTTTTTGTTCAATGCACACGCACGTGTCAGCAGTCTGCCTTCGCACACCCCTGCTATGACGCGTTCGCGTTTGTGTGTCATTTGCATGCACAGTGGTACCTTGATTTACAATCATAATTCCGTGCTCATAACTCAATATAATACAGTATATTTCTCATCAATATTTCCCATTGAAATGAATGAAAATGCCAGTAATTAGACTGCCCCTAAATGGTGGCATTTTGTGACGGTGCAAGTAAAGGAAACATTTACTTGCACCTGAGCGACCAGTATTTTTTTTTTGACATACCTATTATTCTTGAATATTTTTTGTTTCTGACAAACTTCTGCTCTACACATCAGCCCATTTATCAGTAAAGTAGTGAAAATGTATGAAAATATGAATATTTACTTCACAAGTCAACTAACAGTATGCGGTAAATAAATTTTCAACTTGCACCCTTTGCAAATAGTGGGGCGGGCCCTTTGGGGTACTGTGGTGCGCTGTCAGGTGACCACAGGGAACATGGGTTTGGGTTTTTTTTCGTTTCCATACAAGAATAAACTGTAATTGCGCACCCACTTGAGTAGGTGACAGCGGCGCTCTCATCATGAGTCTGCACTCAGAAGCAGATTAAACCCAACATGGTGACATGGTGGTCGACTGGTTACCATGCCGACCTCACAGTGCAAGGTTCGATTCTGGCTCCGGCCTTCCTGTGTGGAATTTGCATGTTCTCCCCATGCCTGTGTGGGTTTTCTCTGGGTACTCCGGTTTCCTCCCACATTCCTAAAACATGCACGGCAGGCTGATTGAACACTCAAAATTGTACCTAGGTGTGATTGTGAGCGTGAATGGTTTTTCGTCTGTGTGCCCTGCATTTGGCTGGCAACCAGTTCAGGGTGTCCCCAGCCTAGTGCCCGAAGACAGCTGGGATGGCTCCGCCATGCCCGTAACCCTTGGATAAGTGGATTAGAAAATGAATGGATGGATGGATAAACCCAATCTTGCGCTTGTTTCTCAACAAGACACTCCCTTCTTGGGGTCATGTTGAGTCTGCTCATTTTGTTTTCGTTGCTGTCATAGCTAAAAAAAAATCCTGCATCCCAAAATAGGATGTTGGAAATTGAAACAAGGCAATTATGAAGGCTTCATTGCCTCATTAGTGACACATCTGCTGGTGTGCGAGAATCAACTGAACCTCGTATTTTAAATAGGAAGGCTGATTATGTCTCTTGAATGTAATTGTATTGTTCTTGAAAGTTGTCGGCTCTTCTGCTTCCAACTCAAAATTTGGTATTGTGAAGAAGCTATCCTCTTTGTTTTTTTTTGTTTTTTTTTATTGTACTTATTTTTACTAGCTTGTGGGCTTACGTTTTTGTCGACTGTATCACACAACTGAGGTGAGCGCTTTGACATGTACAGAGACAAAGGCAGGTGCATCTGGTTTTCAAAATAAAACTTCTTTCAGTGTCCAATGATCTGTACAAAAAAAAGTTGTTTTTTTGTTTTTTGTTTTGTTTTCAGTCCTTCAGTGCACCCTGGTACAAAATGGTCCACATAACAGTAGGCATCTGCATGCTGTCCATAAAAGCTACTTGTGACAACACGAGAATGTCAAATTAGCCAGTCCCAAATCACATTAATACATTTTGAAACAGAAGTGCCAAATTCAAGTCACAGAGCCAAATCTGGACAACAACATCATTTCATGTGAACCGCCAAAGAAATCATCTACATCATGTGTTTCTTTTTCTAAAATCTTTATCAAAATGTCACATTGTCTTTCACAGATAAGAACTTTGAGAAATTTCTTGCATGTTTTGTGTACAAATCCCTTTTAAGCAGGGATGTCCCGATCCTGACCACGTGATCAGAAATCAGGCCCGATCACATCATTTTCAGCTGATCAGAATACAGGGTGGGGCGGTAAATTTTTTCCATTTTATTCTTAAAATGTTTTAAAAATTTATTTGTAAGGGATATACAGCAACAAAACATTCCAGAGGTACACAGATATTGCCAAAAGAAAAACTTGAATCTAGCGTCATGGTGTCATGATAATGTTGGCAGTATGGAAATATTTTAACGTGGAAAGCGGAGACTTGCAATGTGTGCAATTTGAACATTCCATGTGGTGGAAAGGATTGAGCTGCGGCTAACACAACTAATTTAATACACCATCTGATTGAAACTGGTGACCTGCTGGAGTCTTGCTGGTGTCACCAGCGACCAGCAGGGCAACAACAGCATGTTGGTGTCGCTGCATAGCTTTGGCTCAGTGGGTAGAGTGGGTTGACTGTTTGAATCTAGGCTGTTTTGCTTTGCTTTTTCTGCTGTTTTTCTCTTGCTGGTGTCACCAGCAAGATCAGCATGAAAACACAACAAAACAATGCTGGTTCACGTTGTTTTTTGCAGGGTTGCTTTAAAATGTCAATGACTTGCTTTGACTAAAAGACACCACTGCATTCATCGAAGTGTAACAATCAGGCACTTTTACTGCTGCTCTGACCAGCTGATGCTTCAGTCTATCTTCTGTTCTGATCTGCGCTTTGAGCACATTGCTATTTGCCACACAACATTGTGAAGAAGGGAAAGTTCTTTTTCTTTGTGCTCTGGGAGTTTGCCGTGTCGACCACAATAATGTCCGCATTCAGACATGTAAGTTGTTGTAAAACCACTTCCATCTAAGTGCAAACACATCGAGTACACTCACACAAAATAAGTAAGGCAGTTTAAGGTACGATCATCGTTGCTGTGTAAGTTTATTGTGTTCCTTCACAAAGTGACGTCACCAAGTACTTGGCCAGCAGACATATTATAGTTTCTTCTGTGTTTTTGGGTTTTTTTTTTTTTTTTGCAGCTCTGTGGGATTGTGTATTGTTTTTACAATATTGTTGTCTGTAAAAATGTTGCCTTTTTTACTCGGCCATATTCGTGTCAACACACTGTTGAATTTCCAAGCTGCCAGTGCAACACTGACTGCCTTCCATAAACACAATCAACAGTAAAATGCTTTACGGGTACAAACGGTACCACTCACACAGGTAGAGGAGCATAAATATATACAACACAATGCCACAGTCATGATCATTTAGTCACTACACACACTACACAAGATGACATTTTTATTCTTAACGATCACGGCAGTTTCATGCAAAGAAGCTCAGGAGCACCAAAGTAGAAGTAGTACAACGGAAGCAAAATAAAGGAATTAACAGTGATGGGATACTCAGCTGAGAAAAGATCTCAACTAAGGCCGCATACAAACATCTCACAAAAGTAGAGAGTCTCTTCACTTGTGCATGTCTCCTCCTGAGATGCGTCTGTAGATCAATGAATCATTGTGCTGTGATACCTATAGTATGTGTATTCACAGTTGGTGGTATAGGGTGTGCTGTCAGCTCATCTCTGGCCTCACTGTGTGGAGTTTGCATGTTCTGTCCATGCTGTCATGGGTTTTCTCCATCTTCCTCCCACAATCAAAGAACATGTATGCTAGGTTGATTGTACACCCTGGACTTGGTTATCTCAAAACACAATTAGACAAACAACCTTCCGCTAACAACTATGCACAAATGACAGTCTTCAGAATAACATTCATTCTGACAATGCCATATTTGTGAAGATGCACCTGAAAATTTGGTGACAAAAAGTAGACTTGGCTAAAAGCAGGTCTAAGTTGTGGCGCTGATCTTGTAAGGTCATTTCTGTGATTTTGATCGATGTGCAGGCAGACAGATTCTCTGGTCCACTGGTAGGTTTGATGGATGCCATTGCATTTCTTTCAGAAGTCAACAATGTGCATCAGGCCCTCTGAATCCTCGTAGAAACAAATGTATTGAACGCATTGTGATTATTACTTTTATCCTCATCCTCTTTATTCCCCCACTGGTCCATGGCACAGCTATGGAGGTGTGTGTGTGGGGGGGGGGGGTTCAAGGGAGTGAGTGGAGCTGCTTTCATTGGCCAGGATGTAAGTCGACTGTGTTCACTCTCACAACGGTGCAAACGCCCATTCCTAACTGCGGCCATCTACAAAAATACCGAAAGAAAGAAAGACTGTACTTTGCACTAGATTTGTGCTCGCTATAAATATAGGTTCCTTAGTAGAAGATATTCACGACAAGCTTCTTAAGAAATAAAGAAATAATATCTGATAGAATAAAGTAGCGCAAAGAAATAGAAAATTTAATTAGTGTGTCTTCATGTGAGTCTGCAGACAGGTCTAAGAGGGGCCAACTGATTTTAAAGTCTTCAAGTCAGCAGCACCTGACCGAAAGTATCCCACTTATAAATAAATATGTGATTTTATTGGAGACGAGATGTTCCACTGCCAGAGACTCGCCACAAAGTCATTCCTTGGAAATCTAAGTAGACTCTTCATATGAAATATAATCTATACAAATAAATGAATAACCACATATACCTTTGATAGTTTTATGCGGTGCCAAATGCCAATTACTTTCATCAGAAATGCTCGTATGCTGAATACAATTACAAAGTAGTTGCCATGTGAGAGAAGAGTGGCCGCAGCGCAGTCTTAAACATTGAGATTCACGTTACGCCAGCTAATTTTGAACGAGAGCATGTGGGATTTTACATAATTACATGCAGAGATGGTAATAAAGTGCATTAATAATCAACAATAACATGCTGAGAGATGCACATTGAGAACGAATTGGCTGATGAGGATGTTGTGCTGAAACAGCATGCTGTTAGTCAAAATATGACAGAGTGCTCCTGTGTGACGCCCTACTACAAACTATCACCGAAAAAAGTAAACATAAGGTTCAGAGAATTTCTCTTTGACCGTGTCGATCTAAACTTCATATTATTAGTTTTTTAAAGACATTTTTTAATGTGTCTTATGCTGAATATCAAACGATTGTGTACATAATTGCAGATTATTTCCTACAGGATAATTCTATTTCAATCTGAACAAATCGGAA